AAAATTCTCCCCTAATGGGAGTAAATGGTCTTGGAGCCATGATCTAACAAAGGCTGTGCAAAGTCACAGACAGGGTGTTCTGAAGTCTAATGAAGTCAGTGGAAGGACTCCCAGAATCAGACTCTTTACGCTCTCATAGAAGATACCTATTTTGAAACCATAAGCTAATTCCTAGAAAAGGGAGTAAAATCCAGGACTGTTAACACTACATCATATATCAAAAGGATCAGGTGTTTCTTTAATGTTTTCACATGGAGGGAAACATTTTTAGGCCAAACATTATAGATGTCTTTGAGAGTACTGAGCTTTTGAGCATGGATGCATGAACAAGTACTCTTTGATCTAAGGCCCAGCATCTCTTTCCAGTGGCATTGCCCATCAACAGGCACCATCCTCTTCTACAAATCCCAAGTCCGGTATATTAAGTAGAGAATTTCCTGCTGTGCAAGGGAAGAAGTGGAGAAGGAGGCTATGTTTGCAGAGACCTGTTGCTTAATAGCATCCTGGCCTATGAATCAGCCAGTCCATTCTTGTTCATAAATCCATCACCGAGTATTTGAATGCTCTGCCTATGAAGATAAATGATAAGAGAAAGAGGAGGATAGATGTTTACTTCTTACCTCACTTAACTGTGTAATCTCCTAACATCATTCTACTGGTGACTTCTTAAAATCCCACCTGACCTAGGTTCATACATTGTGTTACATTGCTATATAGACAAGCTGTCAAAACATTAGCAGAGATTTTGATATCAAAATGACATAAGGAGACAAGCATATAATTGGAGTGTGGTTTAAATTTTTTTTCCCATAGTTATCAGCAGGATGTGAGCATCCAGAGGAAGGAGGGTATAATGGACTCTTCCAAGTGAATGATTAAATGTATTCTGCAGGAGGAGTGAGAGAAGGATGCTAAATGCAATGCAGAAATAGACCTATATTCATCAGGACTGGAGGCTTTCTGTAAGGAGGTTTTTGGGGTCTGATTTTTTTATTCATCAGGCTAGAATAATAATATAGCGATCAGGCAAGTGGAGCATTTCCTGATCAGAACAGGCATGTGTGAGGGAGAGGGAGAGGATAAAAATACAGTATTTTTAAACATATCTTGTCTGATTGCCTGCTAGATTCTCTATTACTTCTCATAATATGGTTGAAAAGTTTTATTCGTACCTTAAGGGCAATGAGCCTGGGCTCATTTAGAGATATAAATGCTGATATTACAACTGTGCTATTGACAGTTTTAAGCAGCTTCACTAGTAGCCTGTCTGTCTTATTCACTCGCTGGTACATGTGGTGTGTTACAAACGCAATAGAGAGCTCTACCCTCATAGTTATAATTGCATCTTGGACTGCTGTGTTATATACACAATTTCTGCGCAGAATGGGAACGAGCCAGCTTTCTCCTATAGCTGCCATTCCAAATTTTCCAAAGGCTCCAAACTCCAAGGTGTTCCTCCGACCTTGAATTGGGGGATGGATCTATTAAGAATTTTCGACTGATTTATAAGAGTTCAGACAGTTTGAAGGAAAGATTTACAACTATCCTAAGGCTGAAAGATGATGTAATATTCAGAGTGTTACTCAGAGTCTAGGGACAGAAGTTGCATATAAACTGGTTTAAGTGTTTTGAAACTGGTTTAAACATGTAACAGAACAGAAGTTCAGTGCACGTAAACCGCTTTCAAAATAGCTGAATCCAGTTTAAGATAAACCGCATTGGATGTAGTATCACACTTAACTGATTTAGATTAATCTGGTTTATGGAACGTCTTTCCCAGATCCTCTCCCAAGTCGAGTTAACTCAGTCACCCAGAATCCCAGGATGCTTTGTAGCCCTGGGCTATGCTCCAGTGGAGCAGGGCTGGCCCCGTCCCCAGCTGTCACAGAGCTGAAGCACTAAAGCAGGGGTCAGCAACGTGTTTGGGCAGTGCCAAAAACACCCACATCCTAAGATGTTGGCATGCCAGGGGTAGACAGGAGGGGAGCTATGAGGGCCCAGTCCTTGTTGTGGCAGTGCAGACATGGCCCCTTCCCCACCAACTGCCCTGAGGCACGTGCACACCTGTTGCCAGCAATGAGCTGGGCCAGAGCTCTGCAGACTCTGGAGCAGCCACGTACAGCCTCCTGGTTGCCTGCCACAGCCAGCCTAGGCAGGCCCTTGTTTCCTGCCATGGAGCCTGGGCTGCTCACAGCAAGCTGCAGGAAGGCTGAAAGCAGCTGCACTGTGGTCCACAGACCCCCAGCCCAGCTTATTGCCAGTGGTGGGTGCACTCATGCCTTGAGGGGGCAGGGAAGGGGGGGCTGGGCCTGCACTGCCACAAGGATTGGGCCCCTTGTGACATCCCCTCCGAGGTGCGTGTGCCAAGCAAAGTGTCTTTGCATGCCACAATCTGGTATGTGTGCTGGGGGTTGCCTATCTCTGCATTAAAACCTTTGCTCCCTATCCTGCTTCCTGCTTGTGCCTATCAATCTGGCAGAACGGTAGTCTGGGAAACAGCCCCCATGCTCCCCTAACCCCATACTGTACAGTGCAATGGGAGGGAAAACCCTGGTGGGGTGGGGGGGTTGCCCACCCCCCATTGAAGTCCAGGCCTAGGATTAGCTCAGCCCTGCCCTGTCCCCAGCTGTCCAACTCCAAGGGGCAGGGGAGAATGCACTCCCCCACCTGGCACTTCCACCCTGCCCCCTCCCCAGCTCCCACCTATGGGAGATGGAGGGCAGAGTGGGGGGTGCAGAATGCAACCCCCAGTCCAGCACCCACCACTGGGGTTGGTCTAGTGCAGGGGGCAGGGAAAGTCCCCACTGGGAGGCTTCTTGCCTCCAACAACCTGGTGAGCAGGGCTGGGATCAGCTCAACCCCTCCCACACCCCAACTGTCTGCCTCGGAGGCTTTCTGAGCTTTTTTCCCTTGCCAGACAGACCCTGGCTTGCGGGGCTGGTGCCCAGCTATGGGGGTGCATTCATCCCCCCTGCCCCTTGCCTCTCAAAGGTGGGGAGTTGGGGAGAGAGTCTGGCTGAGCCGATTCCAGCACTGCTCGCTGGGCGGAGGGCGGGGGGGTCAAAAGCCCCCCAGTGGGGTATTTCCCCTGTGCTGGGCCTGTGCAGGCTTCTGTCTTCTTTGGCCATCCAAATACTGAACATCCGTTCAGTTTGTTTTTATTTCAATCTGCACAAACCGCAAAGATTGAATCAATTCCACTTCAGGCTTTTTGAACCTCTGTACTTAATCATAAAAAACTGGAGTTGATCTTTAAAGAATTCAGATATGTGAATCATTAAGCAGAGATTTACCAAATCTTGTTTATCTGCCTGCCTGTTTTATATATGTACACACATATCTGTGTGGAACGTTACATAGGGGGCTTAGAAAAGTTGCACAGGGGTTGGATTCAACAAAGTTAATCATACCAGATTTTGGCATGATTGGTATGAATGCAGTCCTTGTTTGGGGAGTCAGTTTTTCTTCAACATGGATTCATGTCTGACGAATGTTAGCTGTAATTCAGCCATAAATGATGTTACAGATTATTGCACAAAGTGTATAGAACAATTATAAAATAATGAGGAAATACTGCTAGAGTAATTTTTAACAAATCAGTACATTTATTTTACCTTCTTTTTAAATATGAACTTGGTAACTGTGTACAGTCTCTGTTAGAGTTCATCTATATTCATATCATCAGCTGATAGGTGCTACACCCATAATGCTGAACAGTGGAAAAGTTACTTTACCTGGCTACCCAGGGATCCCCTTTATGTAATTCTGTTTGCCAGTGAATGAGTATATCTCTGACCTTAGTCATTTTTCTCCAGACCTTTGCTTTCACAACTCCATCCCTCTATTGTTTTTCCATGGTTCCCTTCACTGGCTTCTCTAGCAGGGGCCCCATCTCTTTTCCAACTGTGTTGAAGACCCTGGTGGAGAATTGTTTGTTAAAGAGGGTGGGGGGAGAATCCTACAGCTCTGGTTGCTTAGGTCTCCTAGCATACATGTACTTGCATACTTTCCTGTGGGGTTGACTAATTAGCTGCACAGAAAAGCGTCACCATCTACATGTGCACCAGTCTTAGGGTGCAGTAAATTAATTAAATCTACCTTAAGTCTACTGAAATACACATATAGATGGTACCAGGTGCTGGCTAGGTGCTGCCTAGCCCCGCACTTCAGCAGCCTTGTGCCCCAGCCAGCTCCTTCGTTTTCCACCACTGCCACCTGGAGCCTGGGGCTGACACCCCAGAGCCCCCTGCCAGCCCAAAGCTGCTCTGCCCCAGCTCAAACTGCTGCAGTTCTGGGCACATGTGTAGATGCTTTGCCTGGGAGCAGCTGACTCTGGCATAAACTTCACTGGAGTTTATCACATCTCCTTAATGACACGTGTAAACGCACCCCTAGGAACTGAGATAAAAGTATTCCTGGAATTCTCTCTCCAATTGTTCTGCCTAGGCTCCATGGAAGAAGCAAAATGTTAATCAGACAACTTCGTGTCTTGCAAAAGAGAGAAATCAGACTTCCATGGTGTTCATGATTTGCATTGTTGAAGACAATTCTGCAGCTACAGAAACCTGGAAAATTTGCAGCTTTGACATTAACTAATTTTTATTGTTCTTTCTGAAGATTATTCATCTCATTTCCCCATGATTGGGTTTTTGGTTGTTTGTTTGGTTGTTTACGTCTTCATATGGTAGAACTGAAATTAGCGGCATTCCTCGTTCCACTGAATCTGGACCAAGCTGGTGGATCAAATATCAGGCTTCAAGCAGTTTTTTTAGAGAAATATTTGTAAGGCAAGCGCTTTTAACACCTTTTTAAAGCCAGGTGGTTTTAACACTTTTTTTTCAAGACTCGAATCCTTTCCAAGTGTTCTTTCTAGCATATTTCTCCATAAATGTATATGCATTTTAACACAATCTTATTGTACATACAGGGCAATCAATATTTGTTGAAAATCATACTAATGTTAAGCGAATTTACGTTAAATTTTGTCTTGATTGTTTTAGGTCAAGAGGTATCACATAACCTTTGCTCAGAGGTTCCCCGTCCTGAAACAATGGTGTGTGAGGTCCCGTGTGCGCTGGATTGTGTTGTTAGTGAGTGGTCAGAATGGTCACCTTGTTCCCACACATGTTCCAGTAAAAATTCTGAAGGCAAACAAAGCAGGACTAGATCTATCCTGGCACTCCCAGGGGAGGGTGAGTAATAAATATGTCAACTTGGTCATTAAATGTTCAGTTAATGATGGCTAGATGTGTGGATGCTCCAGGTAGATATGTTTGGATCAGACTCGCATCCCAAAATTAAAGAAATGATGAATAAAATTGAGTACTTATCTACACCTAACCTTTACAAAGAGCTGTACAGGCATTAATATATGTGGTTCTGGATCATACCCAAGGTCAGCATTGCTACATTTCAACCAGAGTTATATACTTTAATTGTAGCTTTTGGATTATGAAATTTCAAGGAGCTGATCCTCCACTATTGTAAGTCACCGTAGTTCTGTTTGCTTCAGTGAAGCCATAACTATTTGAACCAGCTGAGGTTTTGCCACTACCAAGAGACAAACACACATTTCTGGCGATGGCACAAATCCAGGGCAGCAGTGTAACTGTAGAGCAGCAAATTAGCATATTAAAATGGATTGTAAAAATCACATTGTAAAAGCAAGGCCATGAAATTTGATAGGATTATACTCCAGACTCTTGAATTTCAGAGAAGATCATGTAAATAGCTTTTGAGAAAGCTGTATCACTTTCTTTGTAGATATGAGGGTGGTGCAGCTGCCTGGGAAAGGCTGCTTTTCAAGCTTCCAGTTCATTCAGCTTCTTGCTGTCTGGCACCTGCAGCTTTGTGATCAGGATCAGGCTCCCACTGCATACTATGCCATAGGAGTTTAAAAATAGTTAACACAATTCCTTTCCAGTCTCTGAGTAAGTGGACTTGACTCCATTCTTGGATGTGAGACCTCTGTGGCCTTTTTTGCTATGTAAAAATGCCCATTATTCTCAGCAGTGTTTGCAGCTAAGCCAGCATTAAAACACTTGACATGCAAATATAGTCCAACAGAAATTCTGTTAAACAGCATTTCAAAAACCCTCATTAAGCTTGAATTTGTGTGCCAAATTTGATGTTGCAAAACTTTCCTTGTATCAGAGATCATTATTCATGTGAGTGCTCTGTAAGATTTTGTAAGGGACTTTGAGGTCCCTTGTGATGAAAACTGCTATGTAAGCATTGACATGATCCTGATAATTATTATTCAAAATAGTATAAATTAGTAAATAATTAAAGTGGAAAATAAAGATGTGCATTTTCTACAACAGGAACAGTATGATTTGGAATACAAACAAGATATATGTAGAATTAATAAAGCAAAGTAAAACAGGAGAATTGTTAAAGGAAAAGATGGGCAAGTCTGAAGGCCCTGTGATCTCAAGAATATGTAGTGTGAAACTTAACATGAAAGTGAAATGCTTTGAACTGAATACATTTCTCAAAAATAAATAATAATAAGGAGCCCCACATCTTTCTGAGGTTCCTGAGCAGCAAATAAAACAACCTTCTGTACAGCATTAGTGTGATAGAGTACATTAGGAAAGTGCTGCTTGAGTAGAACATGCAGGTGAATGAAGATGGATTTAAACAGCAGGTTATTAATTTAGTACCATGTTCCAGTGTTATTTATCCTGCCTTCCTCAACACTAATGTAGCAAGAATTTAATGAACCCAGTGCAGAGATTATAAGGCTCCCTGCAGCTCTATATGGACTCTTCTCAGCGTACCATTAGGTTTCAGCTCACTCTTCTGAGTTCTTCCCCTTTTCTGCAAGAGAGGTGTACCAAGGGTCCCAGAGGAACCTTTGCCTATCAAGAGTTTGTGTCTCTCCTTTTCCCATAGATACAAAATTGTCTAGCAGTATTTCAGGTTTTGGTCTTGGCTTCTTGGAGCTGGTTCTATTGGCCTTCAGCCACAATGCTCACTAGGCACTAGGGCTGTGTGAAGTTTCAGTTGCTGATTTGATTCGGAGGAGATTTGTCCTGATTCAGCAGCTGAATCTCTGAATCTGAATCAAATCAGGAGACCCTTTAATCTTTCCAAATCGAATCAGAAGCCTCTGATTCAATTCAGAGAGATTTGATGATTTGACCATAGACAGAGCTTTATATGTTTTTTCTAAATACTTCGAGGTACCAGGCGGCTCGTGAATGCTGAGATGGTGCATTCCACTGGAGCATGGGTGGGGGGTCCCCAGCGTGCTTGTTGGTGGACCTAGAAGTGGACCAGAAGCACTTCCAGTCCACTTCCGGGTCCACCGCGGAGTACATCCCTCCACCCCCACCCAGCTCAGTGAGTGGTGCCTCCTCGGTCTGGGGGGCATCCGGGGTCCCCCTGAGGCTGATCGCTGAGTCAGGAGGATGCAGGGGATCCCCTGCATGCTTGGTGGTGGACCCAGAAGTGGACCAGAAGTACTTCTGGTCCACTTCTGGGTCTGCCTCTAAGCATGCAGGGGGGCCCCCCCACACTCCTATGGGACACACCATCTGTCTCACCATTGCAGCGTTCACAAGCCACATCTGGTACCTCAAAGTATGTAGAAAAAACATATAAAGCTGTGTCTATATCCAAATTGCTGATTCGTCGAATCAGAATTGAATCTTCGGATTTGGATTCAGCCAAATCGAATTGGGACAGTGATCTGAATCAGCAAATTGAATCACTGTTCCCCAAATCGGGCTGAATTCAAATAGAATACAGCCCGCTTTGCACACCCCTACTAGGCACTATATCTACTAGTAGTTACCTTTGGTGCGTTCCTGTCCACATACTGCCACATACTTAGATCCTGCAAGAGGTAATCCTTAATGTCCCAAAGCCAAATAATGGTCCTTGCATCCAACAATGCATTCCATTGTCTCTGAAAAGCTCATGCTCCCTGTGCCAGTACTTTTTGTGTGATCACAGAAACAGCCACCTCCAAATATATCTGCATAGGATCATAGGAAAATAGGGCTGTAAGGGACCTCACACGGTCCTTTAATCCAGCCCCCTGCTCAAGACAGGATCATCCCTGACTAAACCAACCCAGCCAAGTGTCTTTCTAACCTACTTTTGAAAGTTTGCAGGCATGGAGTTTCCATAGCTTCTTTAGGTAGTCTGTTCTGATATCTGACCATTCTCATAGTCAGAAAATTCCTCCTAATTTCCAGTCTAAATTTTCCCTGATGCAGCTTAAGGCCATTGCTCCTAGTTCTGTCCCCTGAAGTCATGGAGAAAAAGCCATCTCCAGCTTTTCTATCATCACCCTTTATGCATTTGAAGTTGTTATTAAATCCTCCCTCAGTCTTCTCTTCTCTAGGCTAAATTACCCTACTTCTTTCAACCTTTTTTCATAAGTCGCTCCTCAAAAGCTCCAAATAATTTTTGTTGCCCTGTGCTTGACTCTTTCCAAACTGTCCGTGTCCTTTTTGAAGTGTGGGGCCCAGACCTGGACACAGTGCTCCAGGTGAGGCCTCACTAGTGCTGAATAGAGAGAAAGAATCACTATCCTTGATTTGCAAGTGATACTCCTTTTAATACAACACAGGATGCTGTTGGCTTTCTTTGCAACAAAACCACACTGTTGGCTCATATTCAGTTTATGATCTACTCTAACCCGCAGATCCTTCTATACATTACTGCAGCCAAGCAGTCATTCCCCAATCTGTATTTGTGCATGTAGTTATTGCATCCCAAGTGCAGCATTTTGCAATTTATCTTGTTTAATCTCATCTGATTGATTGCAGACCATTTTTCCAGTTTATCTAAGTCATTCTAGATCCTAGCCCTGTCCCCCAGTGTCTGCAATTCCACCCAATTTGGGGCCATCCAGAAATTTGCTCCAAGTGTGCACTCAGTTCCATCATCCAAATAATTAATGAAGACATTGAACAGTACTAGAATCAGGACAGATCCCTGGGGAATCCCATTTGATACCTTTTTCCAACTAGACATTGAGGTCTGGTGACCTCCCCCATTCCTCCCCTTAGGATCTTAAACTCAGTCTGGCTGTTGTCTTTAGGCACAGTGCACAACAGAGAACCCGCAGATTACATTGGCCTTGTTTGGGTCGCCTCCTGAAATCACAGAAACAGTCTATCCCACTCCTTGTCCACTCCCTGCTGTAGGGATAGATTTAAATATCATAACATTTAAATTTCCTTTACCCTACATTCTGGACCCCTTGATACTTCTGATGTTTCTGTATTGATCCTGAAGGAATGTATGCTGAAACTTGAAGGACTAAAACCTACAAAGATTAATAACTTCTTTTGCAGTTGATTGTTACCTGGGCTGGTATCTAGTACATTTGCATTGGCTAAAACTGGATTTGACTGTTCTATTGCCCTTATAGCTTTATCTGTGTCTGAATACCATAAGAAAAATGACACTTTTGTATATACAGTGTACATCCATTAATTCTAATGGATACCTGGGTCTGTCCTAACTGCCTGCTTTACTAATCCTGACAATACCAAAAAAGCTATGGCCAATACCGCTTTTATGTAGAACTGCCACTCTCTCCCAATTCTTGGGTAGAACCTCCAATAATCACATGAGAATCTGTCATCTTCCATGCATTCATTGCCTCAGGACTTCTACTAATATACGTTCACTTATGGCCTACACAAGCCACCTTGGCTAACTGTTGATAAACAACAAAATTTTGAACTATTTTCTAAGTGTTTATTTTCGAAGAATGCTTATCACCATGATTTGAACAAAAAAGAATATAATGCTTTTGTATGCTATGCCACTCATCCTTTAAAAACCTATGTTCAGATCACTTCTGTTCTCCACTGGAGTGTACTTGCAGCTCTCGTCTCAATATCCAGCTGGATCATACAGCTGCTTAAACTTTTCAATAAATGTTTCCTAAATCTCTAAACCAGTGTTTGTCAAATGGGGGTATGCGTACCCCTAGGCGTACTTAAAAAGGTTGTAAGGGGTATGCAAACCTTATGTGGCCGATAAATGCTGCCTGCATGTGCGCATCTGCAGCACAGCACAGAGGCAGCCAGGAGAGCAGCCAGGTTTGGCTGGTAAGTGTGTTGTGAGGGAAGGGGCTGGGAGAGGGAGTGGGGCACATCAAGGCCCCAGCAGTGGAGGAGGGAGTAGGACAGGGGCTGCCCAGCTGGGGTGGGGTGGCTGACTGAGCCACACAGGGGGTAGATCCCACCACTGCACACAGCCCAGGATGGCATAGAGGGCATGTGCCCCCGGATCTGCATGCAGGGCAGGGCAGGGCAGGCTGCCACTACGGGCTGGGGCTGCACCGGGCTCTT